GAACAGCCAGTCACTTGTAAAGCCCGCTTCAGCGGTCACTTGGATGAACTTGACGGTATTTCAGCTTGCTTGTCGCGCCATTCTAATAGGGGCGAGTGTTTGTCGCATATGTGCGTCATCCCTGGAATAGATAAAGGCATTGGTGCGAGTCAAACTTGTGACGGTAGCTCATCATGGCCCTTAAGTACCAGGTGTGGCTCAGAGAGGACGTCGATGGGGCTGCTACAGGCTGCTACGCGACGGGGGACTGATGTATGTTCTCACGCCACTGGTTTTTCTCCTTGACTCCGATCCGACCTCGAGTCCCCGAATCTATGCATAATTGTTTAAGGAACTCCGGGCACGATATACTATGATAAATGACGCGCTCTTGAAGGGAGAAACGTTGGCCGTACGACTTGCGGGGCGATAGGGACTCAACGTGAACTGAGCGCCTTCAAGGGCTGCCATTTTCTGGTCGTCAATGTTTCATCAGGGGTTCCGCGCAATCTCTGTGAGCACTGAATCCTCCATCCATGATTTGCCTCGACTTTATCTTATATCGATAACACGGTAGAGCCGAGACCGACGGTCTCCTGCGCGTCATAAGGAGGAAATTGGGAGGGAAGATATGGAAAGCAAGAGTGAGCAGCTCATTTGCCGAGTTCATTTGGCTAAGCGAGGGCTGTGCTGTGACTGGGACCCCGGATACCGGCTATTTCAATGCGTATACTGCAGTTATCAGTGTACATACAGCATGAAGTCAATGCCATTCCTGAAATTCCGAAGACGGGTGCCCACGTACTCTTAATACTGTAGTTGTAATATTCTGGCTGTTGACATTGGGCACAGGAAGATATGATCTAAGCCATACATGTGCACAACCTAAGACATCAGCAGTGCACTGCGATTGTCTGGTCCATCACTTTCAGAGCGTCCTCCTTCCTCACATTGGGATTTGTGATCCTCTGCGTGTTGCACTTGAAGTACATTGCCGGGGCATAGGGATGATAGGTGCTAGACGGAGGCGATCTCGGGTTTTCAGGGACTCCACCGTCCACCCTCGGGCACGTCTGCTTGAAAAAAAATAATTGGGTATATGGCACTAATGGGGTGCCACAGGCAGAGTGGCCGGGATTGTCTCCGGTATTTATGCTGACCGAACGCGTTGCATCGACACGTCCACGACGCGTTCACGTGCGCCACATACGTGACCTTGTTTGGTAGTGGCTGTGCCAACGTGCTAGCGCACTGAAGCGCCCGATCGGGCCGCGGGCCGGATCGTGCTCAGGACTGTGCGCGCTGGGGCGCTCAACGCCTCCAGCGTCCTCGACGCTGCACGCATGCCACGGCCTCACAAAGCGCCACCCCCCCGGCCTCCTCAACGATGCATAGCCCATGCCGTGCACCGCTGTGCTCACCGTCGCATCCGCCTGCTTGCCCTCAACGCTGCATGCCCCGGTGCCCAAAGCCCCGCTTCCCGGGCTCCTCGACGCCCTGCCCTCCATGCCACGCACGACCGCGCTCAACGCCGCACCCATCCGCCTGCCCTCAACACTGCTCGCCCGCTCTCAACACCGTCCGCCCCGGCGCTCAACACCCCGCCCCTCGACCTCCTCCACAATGCACGCCCCGCCTCCAAGCGCCCCCGCCCTCAACGCCTCGCGCAGCCCGCGGCCTCTTCGACGCTGCACACCCCGCCCTCCATTCCTCACCGCAGCGCTCAACACTGCAACGTCCCCGTCCTCCATGCTGCATACCCCCCGCCCCCCTCGCTCAATGTCGTGCAGCCTTCAATGACGTACGGGTCGCTGTCGTGCCGTGATATCGTAAGGTAGAGATATCAGTAATATACGATTATACCTGAGGAGACCAGAGCGAACGAGCGAGTGGTTCGCGAGATATGCATGAGCGACGAGTCTCGCCTCCCGACGCCCGACGCAACCGCGTGAGCGAAGCCCCGCCCCGCCACCTGCTTAATCGGGTGTGGGAACTTACCACTTTTGGAACCACCGCGCCGCGCCTCTACTCAACTCCTCCCTCTTGGCTCTGGACGCTTCCTCCGAGCACCCTCCGGCTCCAAAACTATCTGGCCAACTGCATGCAACTATTCTCTGACCTTTTGACCTGTCGGACCGACTTCGCCATACCCCTAACCGCTGATAACTGGGCTACTTTTGCCTCAACACCTCTCCTCATCCAAAAATCCGGTGCCGCCGCTCGTTGCCCTCGCTATGACACCGCCCGGACCCTTCTAAAAGCTTTCCCCAGTTCCTGTCCAAGTCTATAGCGCTTGAGTGGCCATCCAGGATGCTCTCTCCAATTTCAGAATCATCTTCCCTATCTCCTCCTCCTCTTGAAGTTTTATTATGACTCCAACGCAACATAGCTACGAGCCTCCTGCCAATATATTACCATTTTACACATATAAAAGAAGCCCTTACGGTCTCAAATCTCTATCTTATTGTCCCCCAAGTGTTTGGTGAGCGATACAGGGTCAACTAAGTGAACTTAAGTTCTTTTTGGCATACTGTTCGCCATACATTACAAAATTGTTATTCCTCTGAGAATAAGCTACTTCAACACTCTGAAAAACCGTATCTCACTTCACTAAGGGCTACGTGCAGCCACTCTCATTCAACATCCCGATTACTCTGTCTTTCAGGTGTTCCCACAGTTTTCTGGACATACATTGCGATCTACTTGTGTGATGGTGATGAAGGCGTGGAGCACCTGTCAGTTTGGAATGCACTTGTGGCTGACACTGAATCTGTCATGTGAATTTACTTGCTGTTTTTCTGTTATGCCTCTGTTGCACAAAACAAGAAAACGACAAGCTGAGATCACGTGATACGTGGGAAAATTGTTGGAGTTTTGTCCTGCGTCGAGGACGGAGGACAAAAAAATCGACTAAGTGTGGGAAAATACAAATAGGGGCATAGGCTTGAGGAGCGTTCCGGGCGTGTATGCAATATGAACGATACAGTCAGTCTGAGGCGAAGTAAGAGCACACTCTTAATTTGGGATGGCATTGAATCCATGCTGTATGTACACTGATAACTGCAGTATACGCATTGAAATAGCCGGTATCTGGGGTCCCAGCCACAGCACAGCCCTCGCTTAGCCAAATGAACTCGGCAAATGAGCTGCTCACTCTTGCTTTCCATACTTCCCCTTGGCGAAGGCGGACTTCCTAACAGCGATGATCACATCAAGCAAAGCCAGTGAAAAATCGTAAGCTAGCTGAGGACATGTTCCCTCTCGGCGATTCTAATGCAGTCATGTGTGCAGGGATCCTCGTGGCAGGCTCAGGCGTATTGCGAACGACGACAACACTTGTCTGCGAGATCTCGAGTCCGCTCGTCCGGCGATGGTGGTTCGTTCCCAAGACACGTTGCGGCAACCCGGCACGGGGCCTGAGAAGGTGGAGATGACGTAATTCGCCATCGCTTTCCTTGCTTCATCGGTTTCATTTCTCGATAGGAAGATTTGCTCCAGTGGTGTCTGGTACTGGATCCCACGGTATCGTCATCATCTCCGTATTCAGCCTCAGATCAGGTTCCGCAAGCCACAAGACGGTTTAGCGTGGATCTATCTGCAACAGTCTGCAACGGTGCTTCCGCGAAGATGATACGGGAATCACTGTCATGTGACGACGTTGGGCAGTAGGCAAACCGAATGGAAACCGGTATCGGGACGAACAAATCGTTATGCAACGCGGAAAAGGCAAAGCATATCTACAGCTGCAGGCGATAACAGTCATTGCTGCATAGGACCGTTCTCACCTGTCTAACAAGCCTCGGTCAGCTGAT